TGATGAAGCACTAAATTAGCTTGTCTAAACATTGTATCCCCATCTGCTGATGACTGCTCTCTTTACTGGCAATTTACTAATTTTGCTTTGTATCAAACTCAGCAGAGAAGAAAGTGGGATGTACCTCCAGTGCTTCTGCTGTTAAACTGTGGTGCTGTGATACAACTTGATGAGATACTTGTTGTTTGGCAGTAAGTACGTACACAGAATCACAGAATCACAGAATCACCCGGGTTGGAAGGGACCTCAAGGATCATGTAGTTCCAACCCCCCTGCCTAGCAGGGCCACCAAACATACACCAAACATACATACACATACATACATATGTACCTTGGACAGAAGACGGATAAATTGTGAAATTTTACTTCTGAACCTACAGCATAAATACCAGCATGTCTGTGTGCTTCTAGGAGCTGGGGCATCACTTGTGCCCTCAGGACATGCTCATAGAAGTCAAAGGGCGTCTGAAGTCGGTTTCCAAGTAGCTCCTACACTTTGCTGACAGATAATTTTACTCAACATTGTTTTTTATTTCCAGGTGTTTCTGGAAATTTCACCTATTTCCAGGTGTTTGTATGTGTTAGAATGCAACTACCTCACTCTGAAATTCTCTGTGCCAAGAGCCAGACTTAGGCTGAAGTTATTCAAAACTGTCGTGATGAAGATGAGATGGAGAATATAGGATGTCAGGGGAGGCTCTGCAATGCAGAATAAAGGAATGGGGAAGGACAGTCCTTGTGGAGTCTGTGTGCTGGGAAGTCTGGTCTGTAAAATGGCAGTCCTGGGATTCTGTTTTCCTTGATTAACCAGGGTAAGATTCTACCAAATCGACCAATTATTCCCTTTGCCCAAGTGGAGGAGGCCCGTGCTATTGTAAGAACTAATTTAATGCAGTTATGAAGTGAAAGTGGTGCTATGCAGCAGATCTGCGGGGGTTGAAGTGTATTTTAGAGTACTAAAATAACTGAAAAAACTTCCAAAATCATGTAACTACTGTATGTGTAGAAGGGGGAAGGCAAGTTTTCACTGAACTACAAGTGGTAATTGAGGAAGTTTCTTGAGTCCTTCTTTTGTGACTTTGATGTCCTGCAAAATGGGCTGTTCAGAAATGCTCACACTGAAAATATTAAAAAAAAAAAAAAAAAAAAAGTTACCATGTGAAATGCAATGAGTAAAAAGATGGAATAACCCCAGTGCTAACTGGGCAAAGCTTGAATTGTTTTTGTACTTGTTTTGAATTGATGGCAAAGCTTGAATTGTTTTTGTACTTAAAAAAAGAGAAAAGAGAGAGATGGAGGATAATGACCTTAAGTTGCACCAGGGCAGGTTCCAGTTGGATGTTATGAAAAATTTCTACTTAGTAAGAGTGTTGAGGCAGTGGAACGGGTTGTCCAGGGAGGTGGTGGAGGTCCCTGGAGGTATTCAAGAAACATGTAGATCTGGCAGTTAGGTGCATGGTTTAGTGGGCATGATTCTGATGGGTGGAGAGTTGGACTAGGTGATCTTGGGTGTGTTTTCCAACATTTATGATTCTGTGCAAAAAAAAAAAAAAGCTGAGAATGGATGAGAAGATGACACTAAACAAAACACTGAACATAATTAATAACCTTAGCTGTCATTTTCCTGCAGTGAAATTGATGTGTACTGAATGTTAAAGGATTAAATCCTCCCTATCCTTTGTCTATGTAGAAACAAAAATAGTTGCAGCAATGGTAGTTATGTGACATGCAAGGCAGGACCAGAGGATAACTTTTTGTTTGAAAAGCTGAACGGTGGGTTGGAAACAACAGTGCAAGGAATGGGGTAGGCAGTAGAATTTCTATGATGAGGGAACGGGGTGGTTGTGAGTCAGTCTGCTCCTGGGGGGAAAGCATCCCAGAGTGGGTATCAGGTTGGAACCGAGCTGCGAATTGAACTAGTCAAGAAAAGGTTAGTGGCAGAAAGGTAATATATGCATTATCAGCATATCATGATGTCTGGAGGCCTTTGCTTACAGAACAGCCATGATACACCTTGCTTTTTATGGCTTTGTACTTTGCCCGCCTATCCTTCTCTCTCTGTCAAAAATGTTAATTCATCATTGATATGAAAATAGGTGTATGATAAAAAGAGTGTTTAGGAACAAAGGGCATTTTACATTAAGATATAATTAAGAATGCTGTTTAGTTGATTGTGTGTCTTGCAGCCTTTTAGGATATGATTTATACCTCCAAAGAGTAAGCATTCTATTAAACCCTACATTTCTCTTCAAAAATACTTTGTTATAATAATTATGTTCTGTTTCTGGCTTTGGAGATTTAATGGGCTTCTTTTTAACAAGTATCACACCTCTGCATTTCATGTGTTAGTATGCTGTTGAACACAAAAGGCAAATTTGGACCATGATCAGATCCTTCACTGAGAGGAGTTCAGTGTTAAAATCAAATGAAAAAAAAAGGCTGCAGTTGTTAAGTACTGTAGCTTAAAAGTCCATTCTTCTGTTGCTAGCTGTGTTTGGTCCACACACAACCATTTGGTTTTTCCAGTAGAAGACTGGCAACCGGTTCCATCAAAAGTTGGCTCTTGTGCAAGTGAGAAAAGCAGAATTGCTAAGGTGAAGGGTGTAGGTGAGGCTGCTGCGCTGATGGAAAACTTACAGGAGCCTAATTTGCTGCTTTTCTGTTTTGAATGTAGTTTAATTCTCTTTAGAATTACATTTTCTAATGAGCAAAGGAGTGTATCTGTGGCAGAGATATGAGGATTTTACATTGTAATTGTACTTTTGTCTAACTTAGTTAACAAAGTTTACAATCACTTCTTCTGTTGACAAGTATGGTAAGATCAGAAGATTTTGCCCTTTTTCTATTTGCCTATCATAGTAGGTGCTCATAAGTGGCGTAACTGTGATATCTGCATTTTCATGTGACACCTTAATCATGTAAGGCATTCCTCAGATGTGATGTAAACAAAGGATGACTGAAGAGCAGTGATTCTGAATATAATGTAAAAATGTCAGTTAGATTAGAGAAAAGGCTGTGTTGTAGGGGAGTGTTACTGGCCAGTAGTGAACAGGGAAGCAAAGTGAGCTGTACGTGTGCTTAACACAAAGTGATATGTGGAGGACTGTGTGGGCCGTAAGATCAGTGTTGGTATTAACATTGTTCTGTTTAGTAAAATAGTGCAGTAAATTTTACTGCACTGTAAAATTATGAATTTTTGTTTGCTAGCTTATTTTCTGGAAATACACTGTGACTCTCCTTTGTAAGTCAAGATTGAAAGGGCTGAGGGGCTCTAGTTTGCTTTTCGTTTGTTATGAGACGTGGGTCTGCTGGTAGCTGGCAGCTTCTGTTTTCAGCTGTGTGAGTTTGTCCTGCTCTGCATCGGTTAGTGATTCCATTTTATGGTCTCCAGGAAGTCATTTGTTTCCTCTGGTGTGTACTCATGAAGGAAACATGAACTATGTTTCTGTACTTGTTTATAGTGGTTATTGTGGAAACAGCAAGGTGTTTCGTCAATTCTTGCAGTCTTGTTCTGTTCCACATATCACTGCTACGGATAAGGAGTTAGGTAAGGCTAAAGAAGTCTTAAGTGGAAGAGACCCTAAGGATCATGGAGTCCAGCTCCTGGCTTTACACAGCACCACCCAAAATCCAGGCCCTGTGTCTGAGAGCGCTTCCAAACGCTCCCTGAGCTCCAGCGCTTGGGCTGTGCCCACTGCCCTGGGCAGGCTGCTCCATGCCCACCGCCCTCTGGCGCAGAGCCTATTCCCAATTTCCAGCCTGAGGTGGTCCGTTAGGAAATGGCACATTGCAGATTTATTCTGGAGTCTCTGGCATAGAGAAAAAGACAGCTATTAATCTTTGATTGAACTAATGATTTCTATGCCTTAGGGTGTGTGAAAAATGGCTTTGCCAGAAGTGATAAGAGGGGACTGCTTGGCAGTAAGTCTTGGATGCCAAGAAGGTGTCTCCTACCCATGAGTCACATTTGTGCACAGGTTTATATCAGCTAACTCTGCTTTTTGGAGCCCTGCTAGAGATAGAGTGATCCATTTTGTTAAAATCTGAAATTAGAGAAAAAAAAATTACAGAATGTAATATATTTCCAGTTGTGTTTTCTCTTTGGAAATATCTATTGCATGATTGCCTTCTGACTGAATTTTGAGACCTGCCTTTTTTATTTCTGTCTCTTTTGAGAAGGCTACATTAAGTTGCAGGGCTTGAGGTGCCTTTTTTTTTTTTTTTTTTTTTTCCCCCATGTTTAGCATTGCTTCCCAGTGAATTGGTATCAAACAAGATGAGGGACACTGATTCTGCTGTTAGTCTTAGACATAATGTAACCTTTATCAAAGAGTTAATTACTGATTGCAGTGTGAAGCTCAAAACAAGTGAATATTATTAACTGGTATTTTACATTTTTCAGCTATCAAATTGGATTTGTGCTTATGCTTTCAATGAAGTACTGAAAGATTTTGTTTAAATTGCTTTTTAAGTAGCTGAATACTTGTAGAGTTGGGCTTTTCTGGGGCCTTTTGTGGGTGTTTAAAAATTAATAATCACAGAAATTTTTAAAATAGCTGGCTGGTTTATTTCTAGCATGCTTTCTTTTGCAGATGGTTTTTGAAAGCATTCTGCTTTGAAAACCTTCACACGGATTTAGAATGGCTTTGAAAAAATTTTCAAGGTGGCAGAATAGAAAGCGTGTGACATGACTACTTAATCTGTGGCTGGGGCCAAGGGTTCTTTTTACATAATCCCATCATTCTTAAAATTTGTTAATGCAATCTACCTACAGACTGATCAGCAACTGCAAAATAATATTAATAATAATAAATGAAAAAACAGTTAACCAACACCCTATAATTCAGGGCAGTAGTATACAGAAGTTCAATGGGTTTATTTAGTCTATCTTAGAAGTCTTTTCTCACCTTGATGATGCAATAGAATCATTATTACAGCTTTGCTATTTGTAAATTTAAATGTATTCTTCATTTTTTCATTTGTTTTGGTTATTGTTACAGATGCAGCATTCACGTTCCTTCTGCTAACTTTTCCCTACTGGTAGGATAAACAGAATCATTGAAGGACTACAGAATCAGAATATGTATTTCTTTAAAGAGGGTGTTGTTTCTGCTATTTCATCCAAACAAAATGAACAATTATTTTCTAATAGAATTATGACCATAAGCCAAAATGTAGAATGCCTCATTTTACTGATTTGTACCACCGAGTTCCTCATACTTGTGTTTAATAAATGTTTGTTTTGGTACCAAAGTGCACATTGCAGTTTTTACCACCCTTCATTCCTAACTTTAATAAAAGTTTGTTTTGCCTTTTTTTTTTTCCTGTAAATCTCACGCAAACATTTTGAAAATTGTCAAAAGAAATCCACCGTAGCCTTAAAAATCAATTCTGCAAAGGTGATTGAGTTTGTGCTTTTCTTTTAAAGATCAAACTTCCTGTAATACTTCCCATATAATCCCTGTGTAGTTAAATAGCCCAGCAGTCATAACATGCTTGAAATGTATGCAAAGCATCGGCCCAAAGTTTAACTCTTAATAACAGAAGGATCAAAGGACATGATTCCTTTTAAATAAAACATGATACAGACATAAATGTTAGTCTGAGTGAAAGGCTTTGAAAGCATGCATTTTGGATATTTTATATGTAGATTAAAATCAGTTTGCCTTGTCTCGGACAGAGAAAGAAATCTCGCACACCTTCGTCATTCTGAAACCAATGCTGTCATCTCAGTTTGTGCACTGATTTATGGCTCTGATGGAGGATGATGGCTCTCAGGGAGGCAATCTGTGGTATGCTTCTTGCTTCCTTGTGTACAAAAATAAAGCGTGCGTGCTCAGAAATGTGCTTTGATGTCTTAAAAAGAGACACTGGTAACAGAACAATCTTGTACATTTGTAACTTGCCGTGTAACTTGGAATTATTAAGTAAACATTCTTTGAAAGTAACTGTGTTGCTGTAGGGTACTGAAAATAATGGGAGCTGCAATATCCTAGTCATAATTTGAGTGAATTATGAAGACAGGTCAGTGGCTTTTTTTCTGTCCTGAAATTTGTCTTTAAAAAGCCAGTTGTGTGGTCTTACACAGCTGACTTCTGCTCTTCAGAGCCTCCCACTGGGATGAACCAAATCACAGAAGTGTTTGAAGAAGCTGCCTGGCACCAGTGTCCTTTTGTGGTTCAATTTAAAAGGGGGATGCTGTGTTTATAGCAAATTTATGTCCGCTTTTCCCAAGCTATTGTTCTGAAATGTCAAATTATAAAATAACCTCTGCTGTGGTGATGTGTATTTTGTCTCAGTTCTTAAAGATTTTACATCTGAAAGTTTTCCCCGTCATTAAATATAATATCTTTACTTTCACGTGCTAATGCACTGCACCATTTATGCTTTAGTGTTTCAATTAAATACTTGCTATCCAACATTTAAAAAGAACACTTTAATTGTTGAGGACAGGAACAAATTCACACAGCATGTATGTTAACTGTAGTGTTGAATCATAGAATCATAGAATGACCTGGGCTGAAAAGGCCCTCGAAGATCATCTAGTTTCAATCCCCCTGCTATGTGCAGGGTCACTACCCACCAGACCAGGCTGCCCAGAGACACAGCCTGGCCTTGAATGCCTTCAGAGATGGGACATCCACAACCTCCTTGGGCAACCTGTTCCAGTGTGTCATCAGCCTCTGTGTTGCTGACATGCAAAATATGTTTTTCTCTATTTTACAGAAGAATACACTGTATGTGCAATGTGTTTGATCGCTAGGTTTTGTAGCTCTTGTTCCACCAGAGCACACTCTATTAGCCTTATAAATAGGGATGGTATGGGAAGAGATCTAACAATGTCCACATGCAAAATATTTGCAAGGAGGGGAGAAGTGGATGTGAATTGTTGGAGTTCTTCATATGATGTGATGCTCTGTTTTTATACATTTGCAAGGAAATGATCTTGTCTGTCAGGCACATGACTCTGATTCTAACTTCATTTTTTAATTTTCTGAGCTGAAACTTTGATGTTCAGTCTTCCTTATGTAGTAACAATCATACTTCACTGCTGTTTAACTTAGCTTCCTATATTCTTCAGGGTCAAGGACAGTACTTGTGATTTTTATTACTGTGTGTATTACTATATGATTACTATGTGATTTTTAATTTTCTCCCCCAGTTGCAGAACACCACCACATCACCGTCATCTGTTGGCGTGCTTGCAGCAGGGAGGTGCCTTGGCTGCTCCAGCCCTGCCCCATTGCTGGAGCTGGCAGCCACCCAGCTTGCAGGTGATCTCTGTAACTGGGATCCAGGGCTCAGAAAGCCCTCAGAGATACGTGCGTGAGGAGGGGCCTTGTTACTTCTTACTGGATCTCTTATGATCAGATGAAAGCTTGGCTCAGCAGCCCCTGGGAGGCTTTTTCCCTTGTTTTATAACCAGAATTTTCTCTCTTAGGGCTGTTACAGGAATAGATTTTATATTCCTGTTCATAAATTTGGAGAAACTGAAAATGGCAAGAGACCTTCAGTCATAGATGAAGAAGCATATTGTGCAACTAATTGCTTGAGGAGTTGAATTAATAAAATGGAAACACATTGCAGTGTTTCTGATATGCGGGATTTGCCTGCATCTTCTGTGTGCTGCTGGTGGGCCGAGTTCAGCTCCCTTTCATGGGACAAGGGCAGTGATCAAAGCAGGGCCTGCAGGGCCTGTAAAATCTGTTATCCTGCAGCAATTGAAACCATGAGCATGGGAACATTGTAGTTAAATCTCACTCATCAGCTGCATGAGCAAATTTTCCCATGTTCTGCATGCAAGAGTTGCAGAGGAGTTCCTGAAGAATCATGGAATAGATTCATTTGAGTTGGAGGGGACCCTTAAAGGTCATGTAGTCCAACCGCCCTGCATTAACTGCAGTGAATATCTGTAAACACAGAACCCATGAGGTACAAAACCCACAGAGTTGTACAGCTCCAAATCGTTGCTTGCAAGGAGTATGTTCATTATATTGCTGTTCATGAAGTTCAGTCTTGTTTGGAGTTGAAAAATATGAATCTTTCAAGCAGAATATTGCACTCATTTGATGTTCTTTTTAATAAATCATGCAATTATCAATTAGCTACACTAATTGAATAATGGGAGATTAATTCATTGTTCATTCTTAGGTCTTTTGAAGCTGTTCAAACACTCTAGGTTTCTTAATATTACTTTTAGTAATGGAAACTAAATTAGTCCCAGAAACACCCACCAATTTAGCATGTTATAGGTAAAACATACAAAAAAGAGAGATTCCGTGTTTAGCGTAACAGACGAATGTAAATTTACCTTCTTTTAGCCTTGGTGAAGGGCATTCTCCTTAGCATCTTGGCACAGTATGTTCCAGTTTTCCAGCAGGGAAAAAAAGGTGAAGTGACTTTTCTTCAGCTACCAATGACTGCCCACTTGGAGCAGTATGAAACTTCAGGTCACTCCAGGTAAATGTCTGTGAACCAACATCAGCTGGGTTTAACTTCACCTTCCTCACGAAGTGGAGCAGAGTAATGCTTCACAATGAGGCCACTAAAACTTGGGTTATTCCAACAACACCTACATCATTCCCATATCTAAATGAATTACTATATCACAAATTATTTTAATCTGAGTTATAATCAGCCCATCCTGTTATATTTGGAATATCCATAGAATAAGCTTTTATGGTGCTGATTAGGCTGTGCTGTTATCTGACATACACTATTTTCTTTTCTCACTGCCTTTTCAGGCTATTTTCTTCCCCAAAATACTTCTCACTAGCTGTTTTTGGACTAACAAGTTAAATATCTGATTCACTTTGAACATAGCTAGTGTCTTAAAATAACATTACCTTGGAATTGGATATATTCTTTCTCTTATTTAAAAAATAATAATTATAAGGAGTAACTCAAGATACAGTTCTATGAATTTCAGGCTTGTTTTCCTCACCAGCCGAAGAAGGCTGGAGGAATAGCTGTTGAATTTCTGTTGTTTTCAGCATCTGCAATTGCAAATGGAAGTGAAGGCAATTCTATGTGCTCTGTTTGAAAACACACACGTTAAAAAAAAAAAAAAAAAAAAGTTAGTTGAATTTGCAAGATTACAAAATACTATGCAGATAAAGTGTTTTGTATACAGAAAGTTGAGGAAAGACTTTAGAAAATGATAGGCTAGATCCCTTAGTTTCCTGAGTAGGAAGATGTGTGAAGAATGAGCATAGCACAGGGCCTGGGTGTTCTGAAGGGTTGTTCAGATAATGTGTAATTTGAAACCATTGCATTTGTATTCTCAGAGAAATCCAGAGGTAATCAGAACTTCTAATACAATGAGTTTTGTTATATGTATTAGAGAAAAGGAGTAAGAGCCCTTAAAAGTGCTTTGAAGTTTTGCTTGCACGCAGCATAGCACCATAATAGCCATCAGGTGTAATCTGGACGAAAGAGACTTTGATCTTCTTGTCTTGCTGGAGTGGGCCACGTTTTGAGGCAAGATTCCAGCAAACAGATGCACAGATTGGGGATTAGCTTCAGATTTACCTTCAGTTTGTGCTTTCTTATTTCGTTTTGTGCCTTGTAATCGTGTTGCTAGTTTTGTTACTGAAGATTTAACTCTTTGCTAAAATAACATTCATGCTTTTCTGCCTTTTTTGCACAGCAATTTAGTAACAAAATTGTTCTTAGAGGAGCATAATGCATCAGTGGTGATGTATCAGAGTCTCTTCAGAGTAGAAATGTTGCTGTAGCTGCCTGACCCACTGTTTATCTGCTAAGTGCTGTATTCAGAACTCAGGAAACTGATATTCACATTCTCAGCAGTCATGCTTGTGATTGAATCTGTCACAAACTGACTGTTGTTATTCTTCTGCGGAGTGAATTTTCCTTTTCCAGTGTGTGAGAAACATTTGCTTTCCTTTTTTTCTGCCTTAAAATATTTGAGTAATGAGCTGCCAGCTGTCGTACGTTATGTACTCTCCTACATCAAGAGTTCCCAGAATTCGTACCAAGAGAAATTCAGATGCTGGTGGCCTCAGGAGGAGCTTCTGGTTTTGTCCTGCCTTTCAAACTCAAGTGCTGTGCTTACCTGGATCAGCTGATGACTGGTAGCTGCTCACTTGCACAAAGCTCAATCTGTGCACTTCACATTGTCCTGCAGCAGCTTGTGCTGCTCAGGTTGGGCCCTTCAGTGCCTTCGGATAAAGTTATTTGAAATAAAATATGAAAGCTGTATTATTGTGGCTTGTTTAATGTGTTAAAATAGTTGAGCATTGGCTACATTTTTAATAGCAAAAGATGGGATACGGCACCATTGCTGTATGTTCTACTCAGGAGTAAAAGCACCTATTTATCATGCAGAAACACTGACACATTCATGTCTATCTCCTATGACCATGAAGAAAGTCTCTAAATATAAGCATAAGCACCTTATCTTTCATTTTCTAGATTTTCTGAAACCATAAATCCGCAGGAATGGTTGCTCTCTTTTAGCCATTTAAATGAAGTGCTGGATGCTGAAAACATGAGTGTGGGTGATAACTATGTGGCTGCTGATCAAAGCAGCTACAAAGGGAGCGAGCCATCTAATGACCCAGGTGATTTTTATTAAAAGGTCCCCAGGAGCCCTAGGCCTAATCATACAAGATAATTGTACTTTGAACACATGTAAACTCACCTCGTGTTGTCCATTCTGACAACACAACAGATGTGCCCAGTGGCTTGTGAAAGAGGTGAGCAAAGGACCCGACTTGATGATCCAGGAAGTCCTTTCCAGTCCTACTTTTTTTGTGTTTCTATCTCGTGTCAAATTTTTCTCGTTTTTCTCCATTTGGTAGAAGTGCCCCAAAGGTAAGACTTTTTTTTTCCTCTAACCATGTTCCTTTGGTTCCTTGTGAGTTTTTGTTTTTTTAAGGCAGAGGTGTACTTGCTACTCATTATGTAAAGGAGATTCTCTCCATTGTAACATTTTAGTGGTCTGTGGAAAAGAAGTTAAATACATCAAACGTGTCAACCTGAGTTCTCTCCCTTTGGAGAAAGGCATAAACTTCTGCATTATGTACATTTCATCAGGTTTTAAAATCTGAAAACGCTTCGTCATTATCAAAGATGAGCTGAAAAGGAAATAGGCTGTTTTTTGGTAACCATTGTGGTCCATTGTAGTGCATGTTTGGCAATGAAAACACACTTCTGTACCTTGATGAAATTGTGTAGGAGGGTTGGTAGAGAACAATGTCTCTACCATGAGACATTTCAAAGCCAGCACTTCTGCTTTCAACACCATCCTATCTGAAGCAGCTTATTCCTTACCGAATAAGCTGGAATTACATCTGTTCTGGTGGTAGGATAGATGTAACAGCAGAATGTTGTCTCTGCTTTCACAGATAGCATAGGAGCACTCTCACTAACTAGACCAGAAGCATCCTTGAGCTCAACCATACGTGAAGCTCAGAATCCATACAGCTCATCCATACTTCAGAAACAACAGTGTGGGGCAGCTCGTGTCCCCCCAGCTCCTGTGGCTTCTGCCAGTGCTGAGACAAGGCTCTGTCCTGCTGAATGTCCAGTAGCTGTCTGTCTGTCTATCCGTAGTCCCAGTTCCATCCATTGCCCAGGTTCCTGGGCTGGTAATACTACCATGTGCAGTGGTTCTGTGTGCAGGGCCGGCTGCAGTCGTGTCAGACTGCTGATGCCGTCAAGCTGGTAGGCAGTCATCTTTATATTCTGTGGGAGAGCATTTTTACAAAGCTACAGTGGCTCACATTAACTCTTCCAGTTACAAAGTCAGAAATGAAATGCGTTCACCCGGCACACTGCTTGGAGCTACAGCTGATGGCAGTGGTAGAGCTTTATTTCCTCTGTGCTCCAGGAAAATAGGGTAAAATAATGAAAATTCAGACCATTTTTTAGCCTGCCCCAGTATTTCTATCGACTCCTTTTTTGAATTTCTTGCACATAAGTCATTTTAGAAGTGACACTAATGTAAACTTCAGTGCCCCAGTAAGGGAAACATCTTTGCGGTCTTTTAGCCGAGTGAATGAAAAAGAGACGTTGGCCAGGAGATGTTAGAGAAGGTGGCTGGATTCTTTACTTGAGTATAACGTATGCTAAATGGTTTGTAATAAAACGCTGAGCTGTTGATTCATGTTTTACTTCATTAAATAAAATAAAATACCTTGAAATTAAAAAAAAAAAAAAAAAAAAAAAAGTAGGAGAAAACTGCTTCATCAAATACTAAATTGGCAAGAATTGTGGTTGAGTGACTCAGAGTCTGTAGCCTTAATGAATTTCTGGCAGAAGCTGTAAGGATAATTAAAGAAAAGCATCCTAAAAACATTTTTGTCAAGATGTATCAGCACAGATTGCTATTTCAAATTTCTAGAAACAAAATGCAGAGTTTGTTTAATTTGAGATTAGTATTCCAGACTGATAGCTGAAGAGTGGCTGATGCTTCAGCTTTGAAGAAAAGGGACATTATAAAGCAGCACTGGAGGTTTTAAGCTACTCATTGGCAGACGTGCCTGATGAGTCAGAAGGTGACAGAGCTTTGTTTAACTGAGTGTTTTAGCTCCATGCACTTTGAAATGGAAGTGCTGATACTGCTTTGTTCTAATGCAGAGCAGAGTCCTGAATTAAGCTTCCAGAGTTTAGAAAAGGATGAGAAAGGCAGTTCAGGGCTTTCCTTTAGGAAGGAGCACATGCACTGACAGACCAGGCTGTATGGTCACTGGTAACTTATCTGTCCCTGTATGCAGGCACTGAGGTAGCCAGCGTTTGTTGCTGGGGTGCGATGAGCAGACTTACAACATTACATCAATAGTGTAACTGGGAAGGAAAACTGAAATCGTATAAATGTTATTAAAAATTGTTTTACACAACACAATGTTGCTATTTAAAATTGATACATTAGTAGTTTTCTAGCAATTAAGATTTAGAAGCAAATGTTTTGTGTATGTTAAATAGGTAGAGTTTGTGGATGTTTGATGAAACTGGTTCACAACTCATCCTTAAGGGTTCACGAAAAGAAAGGCATGAATATGTCACAGATCCCAGACAGAGCAGTGCTGACTGAGGCTGGATATTAAGCACCAGGTAAGTGTGATTTGAAGTGGCAGGATTACTTTGGGGAAAATGAGCAGGGTTTTGTGGCGGGTTTTCTCACGGCAGCTGTATGAAGCTGCTCAGAAGTGTGGAGTGCTAGAACTAGTCCCAGCAGAGATGGATTATTGGAAAAATGCGAGTGAGGTGGGCAAAGCTGCCTGATAGATTGCAAAACCATATGATAAATTATACTGATCACATGCATATGGCTCCCATATAAGTAATATATATGTATATTTGTGCACAGAGCTTTATTCCTCCCCCCAGCCCCCATACTTTTTTTTTTTTTTTTTTTTTGGTAGTAAAATTTAGAGCAGTGAATTAGGAACGATACAATCAGATATAAAAGGATTTAGAGCTGTTTAGGTGACTTGGCCAACAGCTGGCAAATGTGGTTCACTGTGGAAAAATGTGAAATAATTAGTCTGGGAGCAAGAAACCAAGGAAACACAGTGTGTGCAGAAATGGAACAATCATTCAGCACACTGACTAGGAGAAGGATTTGAAGGTTATTGTGGAAAAATCATTGAAACCATGAGGCTTGTGCACAGCTGCAAGAAGTGAGTTACTAGGTTGTATCAGAGGGATAAAACACAAAATAGGAGGCTATACAGTTACAGGAGCGTTAGGCTCCATCTGGCACAGCGTGCGTAGTGTTGGTCGCCATGCTGTACAAGGCAGACTGTCTGGGAAAGGGGGCAAAACTTGGAACAAAGATAAATATTTTGCATGTTAAGGTTATGGAAGGTGATATAGGGAAGGTGATATTGTCCTTTCTCTGTATGAGATCAAAAATGGGAATAATCTTAAAAGCGGAGCAACAGAGTAGAAGTGAACAGCTTAGAACTTCACAGAGTGAAGCATCTGGAGCACATTATTTCAGGAAGACTGTTGGTATACAGAATACACATATGTTCTGTGGACTTGGTAAAGAGAATTAAAAAGAGTGGCAGTGATAAGACTGCGGTTGAGACAGGCATGTCTTTCCGTCCTCTCTTACAATGACTTCGGATGACCAGGGTATTCAGAGTGATTGTAGCTTTTAAAGGGGATACAGAGATGTGAGACTACTGTTTCTATCTATGAATTATGCTTCTACATCTACCAGAACTGTATTTAAATACATTGGGGAGCACCTGAATTCTTTGTGCTGTGTATTAGGAATAATGTGCTCATTCTGCCCAAGTGTTTTTATATTTCAAAGCCCTGCAACCAGAAGCTAAGGCTGACTGCTTAGTGCCTCTGTGATGCAGCGTCAGGATAGTGATGCACAGTGAGCCAAAGGTCTGGAGATTTGTTCCAGACTCTAGAATCCAGCGCATCTGCTGCTTTGTCAAGTTGTGTTCTTCCATTAAAAAATCCAGGAGATATATGGATATAAAGAATATGGCATACGGAGTATAAGTAAGTGGTAAAATGCTAGCTAAGATGAGAAAATATTCTAAAGCAATTGAACTATTTCATGTAAGATAACTTTTTTAAAGATTCAGCACTTGGTTCAGTGAAGACTTAGCTCTCTCTTGATGCTTACATGCAGCAGTAAAGCAGCATGTGAATAATTCAAGGGATAACTCCATACACTTTAGTTCTGTAGAAGAAATTCTGAGTTTAACTTAGTCTGTATCACTGGGTCTACAACAAACCCAGAGGGTGATTGGGTTGTCGTTGGAGAAAGGAGCTTGTCCAACATGGTGTAAATCATTAGCTCTCCTGGGAACCTAGCCCATTTTGATGCCCAGCTTTATGAATTTTGGAGCTATTGCCCTGTTTTCACCTGTCTGTAGTGGCAAGGAACATTCTTCCACAATCTCTATGTTCCACATGCTGGGTTATTTCTCTTGGAAAACTTTTGTGGAGGTACACAACAGAACTCCACACTGAATGTTTAATGTTGCAGTTCTTCTTTTCAGGCAGTTAGTCTTGAAGCCAAGATATAGAACCTCCAAAGCTGATGTCAGAATTTCATATACATTATATATAGATTATCAAGGGAGTGGAAGAGCTTAGAAGGGGAGTTACTGAACCCAGGAGCTCTGTAGACAGCAAAATGAAGCCAGTGTGCATGGCTTCATGCAGTGTGCTTCCTCTTTTAAGGGGTGAAGCACTGGCACAGGTTGCTCAGAGAGGTTGTGGAT